CACAGTAGATCCCTGGCACTGCTGCTGGGCTTAGGCTTGTAAGAACATCCTCTGGGTGCAGATGGTCTGTCTAGCACCCTATTGTGAGAGCTGAGACCCCATCATCCACCACTAGAAGTGCTCCAGTTTTTATGAGAAAAAGGGTATGGAGGAAATGATACATACTAGTAAAAACTGTGGTTGCGTTTTTTTTTAAGTGATGGTGTAAAAACTCAAGTGACACTTCTTCCTACAGATAGCGGTAGAGAAACCAAGCAACAATAAATATTGAAACAGGAGCACAACCTTGTAGGCAGACCTCTTTTTTTTTTTTTCCCTGTTAAAATGGAAATGAAGTGTAATCTTAGACGTGATCAACTATCATAATAATGATGTATCGTGCTAAAAGCCAGGGAGTGGAGCTGGTTGGCATTTGGAGCTGTTGCATGCTGTGAAGTTATTTCTGTTTTTTGGAGGCTCTGGTTAAAAGACCGTGCTTGACTTTTCTAGAAGGGATACAAGGCGACCGTGTCTTTTCACTAACGAAGTGTTGAGGCTGTGGGTTGTTCGCTAAACTACCTGAACACCTCCAAGTCACATGAAAGGAGTCTTCTCAGTGTGGTCCTTGCGTTTAACACTTCTGTTCGCTTTTTGTCCCGCTCTTTTGTCAACCTCGGGAGCCATCAGCAGTGTTGGTCTAGGACGCTTTTCTTTGAGAAAGTTCCCCTCTCTCCCCATGGAGCTGAAAGAGGAAATTCATGAAGACTGCAATTTTGAAAGCAAAATCGGGCTTTTTTGTTTTCTGTTTGTTACCATACTAAACAAGATGGGATCTGGCCAGGGTTGTTATAGTAACTACTAAGATTTCCTCAAGAGAAGGGGTAAAAAATAGAACACAGACCCATTCATCTATTACTTCCAGTTTTTCATTCAGAGTTACATGCTGTTCTGTGGAGATAATTTGCAAGACACACAGTGTAGGTAATTTCAGTGACAAAAACACATACCAATAATGAGCACAAATGGCTCTCCAGAATGTTGTGCTGGCACGCCTCGGTTATTTTCTAGCTTTGGAGGCAAGAAGGGTTGTCTTCCCTGGGTCTGCAGTCATTAGTCATTCAGCTGTCTGGCTTTTCACCTCTGGATTATCGGGCTGTCTACTGTGTTATGCAGTTATATCTTATTGATACTCATGCTAGGTAATAGTTTTTTCCTAATATGTTGTTTTTAAACAAGGCCAATGGGGCACGGAGCTACCAAGAACAACTTCAAGAGGCTCAAGTCGTGCTGTAATCTTGCGTGATTACTTTTCTTCACAGGTTGGAAATGCCTGAAACAGCTTAAAAATCCCATTTATTTCTCATGCCTGCAGTGCTTCATGGTTTTCCAGTCATCAACCAATGCTCTTAACTGGTCTTTCTTGTAGTTGGTCATTCCAGCTACAGAGCCCTGAGGCTCTTGCAGAAATTTGAGCCTGTCTAGAAGAGCACGACCACGTGTCCGTGCTGTTGGATTTCATCCCATGTGCCCGTTTCTCAAGGTCAGCTTTTTTTCTGTGTGAGATCCTCAGCCCTTCTGGAGGAACAGTACATCACTCAGTGCTGCATCACCAGAAAATAGCATCCTAATTTGTAACTCTTCCTTTTTGTCCGATGTCAAGAGGATGTGGCTTAAGTAATAAGGACTCATTTCTCTATCTGGGATCTTGGATAGATGTGGAAAAGTGTGACCAGTGACCAGCCCTACTTACTGAAGTAGGATCCACTTATGCTCCTAAAGAGTGCAGGCTCCTTCCAGGAAAGGACTCACGTGTTCACTCTGTCACTTGCATATTATTTTTTATAAAGATAAGTTGAAATTTTAAGACAGATTTAGCATATGTATGCATAAGGGAAGGGGGCTAAGAGTTAAGATACAATTTTTTTGTTGCTCTATACAGCTTATCTGTTATGTCTACTTGGATGATGGCGGTTTGGTTCAAGAGGGTACAGAGCAAGCAGCCGGAGGAGAAATCCACTGAAGATCACTAAATCCACAGGAACCTCATCGGCCTTGGCTGAAAGCAGTGGGAGGCTGGGAAGGTGCTTCAAGGAGATGTTATTTCTTCTTGCTGCCTTCTTGCTTTTCCCTCTGCACCTGCTTGTGGCCACTGCTGGAGAAAGTTTGAGTTGGGTGGATGTTTTTTCTGAACCAGTAATGAAAGCTTTGATATGTTAAGTCATTCTCTGCTTTTTTGGAGCCAGGCACAGCCAGCTTTTTAAGTGAAATGGGTGGTTGCCTAACCTTTGAAGAAAGGGGGAGATTGTTGAACGCAATCACCCTTCATCTTCGGTACTCTCTGTAAAATCTGTAAAAACTGGTGAACAGAGTTTTCTGAATTTCATAATGCTCCAATGAAATGGGAATAGAAGAGTAAAAGGAAGTGCTTGCACCTAGCACTAAAATATAGTCCAGTGTTGGTCTTAACTGTCTGTCTTTGAGCTCCTTCGTGCTCTCAACATAGCCTAGTCCCCTTCAGGATGGGCAATGAATGTGCCAGCAGTCGAGGGTGATGGCTGAATCTGCGAGTGGACATAAGGCCCATCTTGTAGGAGAAATCCAGAGCAGCTCTGGGAAGTCCCAAGCAAGTGGCTCAGCAAAGTGTGAGAAGGACGGTCGGCAGCTCTTTTTGCGACAGCATGTCAGGCCTGGCGCATGGGACAGGCTGAGTCCAAGAGGGAGCCAATTTCAGGCCAACGCACCCAGAAACAGGGCAGAAACCAGAAGATTTATCGCTTGTTACAGGGGTGTAGTGGCGCAGGGCTGTGAGCTTCGGCTGGTAGCACTGACCTCGGCATTAGCGCCCAAAACGAACAAGCCCCATCGCTGAGCCCACGCTTTGTCAAGAACATGGTTTTTTGCAGAGGTCGTTCCTGTCTGATGTTAAGCCTCCTTTGGCACCTTTGTACAGACCCTCCCCTTCTGCTGAGTAGCTGCTAATCTGTGCAAGAATGTATAAAATATATAAAATAGCAGGGCTGGAAATAACATGGTGCTGATGGTGTGAGCTCAGCCGGTGTAAAAACGGCCGCGGATCTGATCCCAACCCGCTTGCCCTGCCGAGTGAAGGAATTGCTGCTGGTCCATATGTCTTGTGTGTTGAACGTTTGAAGGACAATAGTCAGTCATTAATTGCCGCTTTCAGGTTGGCGTAACTGCTGGCGCTTCCAAGGAAACAACCAAGTACTCTTTGATGTTGGCATGAAAGGGAGAAAAGTAGTTTCCCTGCGACCGATCCCATGGAGGCGAGCTCGTAATGAGCTCAGGGACGCTCGCCCTATTTACAGGAGGGTTGTGAGAGCGGAGCTGGCGGTGACGACAAGGAGCCTTGACGCGATTACGCTAAAACCACGGGGCTTTAGATGAGCCGCTGTCACGCTACGCGTTATTTTTGACAAAATATTCTGTATTTATGAAATGGCCTCCGGCACTAATGTTAGAAAAGCTGCCAAAACAAGAGAGCTGGTGCAGAAATGTCAAACCGAAGTCAATGTTACTCATCTGGATGACAGAGAACCTGCAGGAGGCTATTGAAAATGTTTGGCTGAGTGATTTGTTTGGCTTCAAATATTTAGGAGCCATTACTCAGTGATCTGGTGCTTTCTGCAGGCTTGGATAAGCAGATTTAACCCCACCGTAGCTGCTCTTTATATCCTGACTTGCTCCTCTTTAGCTTGGACTAATCAAAGAATTTTTCTACCTGTCCGCTTCTGCCCTGTGGGGTTTTTTATTTCAAGATATGTGTATGTATTGTATAGAGTGTGTGTGTGTGTGTGTGTGTGTATATACATACATACATACACACATAGTCTATATAATGTAGTGTATATATATATTCATACACAATGTATGTATTTCTTGAAATTATTATATGTATATAGTTCCTGCAAGTGTTATATGTACATATAAACTTTGACTGCTTCAACTGCAGAACACTTTTTGGTATTTCTATATGTATGAATAACTGTTCTGGGAGTAAATTGGTGATTCTGACAGGCTGGAAGCATAGCTTAATGCTCTTGTGATCCCTCGAACACATGAAATGTATTTATTCTTCTGTTTTATCACAACGTGAGGAAGATCTTTGTTTACACATGCATGTATTTGAATTGCTAGTGGTAGTCAGATTCTAACTTTCACTGCACCGGTGACTGGCTTGGGTATTTTTGGAGAGAACATAACCAGTTGTGAAAACCCCCTCTGAATGAGCGTGTAACCGCACAGGTCAGCGGTTCGGCGCCGTGGCGCTCTGAGGTTGGTCTGAAGGATATGAAAATGTCACGGGATTGCAGAGGAATTAGCTCGACTTGGGCTTCCGTGTGCAGCTACAAAGCAGTGCCGTGGCGTTGCCTTGCGTGCCGTTAAATGCCGGGTCCGGTGCAGCTGCTCTTCTTTAGACGGCTGTGCTGAGATCGGGCTGAAACTTGCTGCGGTGTAACTTCCTAGTGGGCCCTGAGTTCTGCGTGTGGGGGTTAATTTGTGCAGACTTCTACCTTGCTCTTCAGCTCTACCTCCCCAGTACCTGAACTGGGAGAGGGCGTGGGGGCAAAGTCAGGTCTTTTGATCGAAGTGGTTTCCCTGTTGATGGGCAGCCTACGTTGCACCCGCACGTGTCCGTTTTGTCTTAAACTTTTCAACCTTTAATTGAGAACTCGTTCATCTCCAAGATTTATCAGCTCTCTGGTACCACACTGAAGACCCTCAGGTTTTTGTGATGTCTTCCATAGATGCGTGACGAGGGGGAGGTTTTTTTATTATTATTTTTGCTTTTATTTCTTCCGCTGTACCACTTCTGTAGTTAGATACAAGCAAGGCTGGGCCAACCAGCAAAACAAGTGCCTCTGCTTCCTTTTCCCTCTTATATCATAGGGTAAAACAACCCGTCATAAGGTTTGCTTGAAAGAAGATAGAATTCTATACCTTAAATTCATTGCCTTCAATAAAATGATCCGGTGCAGACCATGCTGCTGTTTTGTTTGCAGAGTCGTCTGAAGGAGGCTGTGCAGTTGTTGGAGGATTACAAGCATGGGACTTTGCCCCCTGGAGTCACCAACAAAGAGGTAAGAGGAAAAAAAAACATTGTTAAATTTCTACTTCTTCCTGCAATCTGGACCGGGGAGGATGAGGTGGCGTTTTAGGCTGTGTCTACAGTCAAAAGCACTCCTGCAGGGCTTTTTTGGTGTTTCTCCTGGTAAAATCCCACACCAGTTCTGTTCAGTCAGTTTCTGACTTCTCCAATGTGGCTTCTGGTCCCTTGCAGCTCATCTGCCAGTGTGTTACAGTGAGTTTGGATTGTTCTGAAGCTCCCACCTTATAAATGTTGCTGGGCAGAAGTGATAGCGAGGGGCTTGCAATGCAAACACGCAGGTTTTTTATTTAGAGTAAGTAGAAATCTTGTGGGTTTTGACTTGTGGTTATCAATTACCTTTGGCCAACACTATTGCTTCCTTTCCCTTGCAAAATGTGCTAGTACAATTAAAAGAAAAAAAAAAAGTCATTTTCTTTTTTTAGCTGAAGGAAACCTTACTGTCAGTCCTGTAGGTTCTTGTACCAGCAACTGTCATGCATCAGCCCCCTCTCCTACTGCATTCCTGTTGGTTGTAACTGCTGTTTCTTCATGGAAATAAATGTTGTTTGGGCGATGTATAACCCTCTGGATGTCCTCATGTTGCAGATTATGCTGTCAGCGGTGGTACTTTTTGCTGGGTGATGTTCCTACTGTTGGGATGGAAGCTGAATGAGGTTGTGGAAACCCCACCAGTGCCAAGGACTTAGTAGGGTTTAGGGAGTTGCTTAAAAAAGGGTAATTTTTGGTAGAACTTGATTCTGCTTTACGACAGAGGGATGTGTTGGGTGATCTCTTCAAGACCCTGTCAGTCCTCTTTTCTGGATTTTTGTCTGATATTCATTAAATGAACACATGAAACTTAGGGAAGCAGAGATGGGTGTTGCGGAGGGGCTAGACTGCTTTTTGAGCCTTTTACCTCCAAATCAGTAGCACTGTGGTGGGTTGACCCTGGCTGGATGCTGTGTGCCCACCAAAGCCGCTCTGTCACTCCCCTCCTCAGCTTGGACAGGGGAGAGAAAATATAGCAACAGGCTCGTGGGTCGAGATGAGGACAGAGACGTCACTCAGCAAGTACCGTCATGGGCAAAACAGACTTGACCTGGGGAAGAAAAGTAATTTATTACCAATCAAATCAGAGAAGGGTCATGAGAAATAAAACCAAACCTTAAAACACCTTCCCCCCACCCCTCCCTGCTTCCTGGGCTTAACTTTAGTCCCGATTTCCCTCCCTCCTCTGCCCAAGCGGTGCAGGGGGATGAAGAATGGGGGTTGGGCTTGGTTCATTACACTGTTGTGTTCTGCTGCTCCTTCCTCCTCAGGGGGAGGACTCCTCACACTCTTCCTCTGCTCCAGCATGGGCTCCTCTCTCCACGGGCCACAGGTCACAGACTCCTTCGGACATCCATCATGGGGTCCTCCACGGGGTGTGGAGGTATCCCCTCCATGTGTGATGTGCAGTACGAGGCTTTGCTCTCCTGGTCTTTTGATGTCACTGCGTTCTTTCAACCATAATCTGATGGTAAGAAAAAAGAAACTAGGGTTGAGGAAAGCAGAAAAGCAGAGAATGATGCAGCAGCAGATGACTCAGTCCCCATCTGCCTTCAGGCAGATGAAAATACAAGTCATTCGCTGTGGCAAACCACGCAGACTTTTGACCTACATTTTGGGTTTGCATAGTGACAAACCTAGGACGTAGCCAGAGTTCATTCAAAATTGCATTGAGAGAGAGCAAACAAAAACTCTGCGTTTCTTGTTTCCCTCAGTCGTGACACCGATGCAGGAGGTGAACCTTGTTGTGCAAGGTGGAAGGTTCTGAGTGTAAAATGAAGGTGTGGGACAGAGGAGGAGAGAGAAAACGATGCCAAAAATGCCTTTCCTAGAGAAAATTTAGCGCGTCAGTGTAAAAAAATAGTATTTTTTTCTAGTAAAATCTTGACAGGGTTCACTTTGATCCCAGTGTCAGTTATGTTGGAAGGGTTTATGTAGTTTTGCTGACTGTAGGATAAAGTAGCTCTCCCAGGAGGAGCCTGGGGTGGAATCGCAGCGTGTGCTTGTCGTTGTATTTAGCTGTGCTTTGCTGCATTAATTAAACCCAACCACAGGGAGAGGTGAGCAAGCTCTGGGTAGATCTCAGCAAGGCTGTGAGACTTGAATGTTCACCCAGGCTACCACAACCACTCTTAAAAGGGTAAAGCTGGAAGGGACCTGAAAGCAGATGACAGTCAGTGTGCCCGGGCTGCTGTGGGACGGGAGCAACCACAATTACGATGCAACAGAACCTGCCTTGTTAACCTGGAGAAAGGATCCATGAAGCCAGCAGGTTTCTGTCACTCTTTGCTCCTGGAGCTGGCTGTTTTGTGTCATTGTGATGACACGGGAGGTAAACTGGGCAATAAAAGCGTCCAACGCTGTTTGGCACTCTTGCAATCCATCTGGGTGAAGGGAACTTCTGACTGGGTTAACTGGGAGCTTCCCAGCATGGCATGACAGGCTGACCAGCTCTTGGGCCGTGATGGTGATGTTCCTCGAGGAGCACCTGGAAACCCTTGAGTCTCTTGTGTCTGAATGCTCTTCTTCTCCCAAATGTGCTCTTGAGTGGACTTGAATAAACTTCTTGCCTGCATATGGTTGCAGCGAAGCCGGTGAAAATCTTCAGAATGTGGTGGTTGTCTCATGTGAGAGCACGATTATCACCCAATGGGTGGCTGTCTCCATCCCCTCAAGCAGAGCCACCAATTTAGAGACAGACCTCTCCTGTAGGAGGGCATTGCTTTGCAGTTTTAAGCCGCGGAATTGAAAACTGCAGTTAATCGTTGCACACGTGGATGATCTTATGTGCTTTTCTCGTTGCATCGAAGGTGATCTTTGCAGTCTTGCGTTGGCGTTAGTTGTTTCCGTCCCCTGGGGCATGTTCTTGTCACGCAGCTCACATGGTATCACTCTGCCTTTGTGTTTACTGCTGTGCAGCACTCGCGAAATAACGCTGAGCTTTCAGCTTTGCCAGCGACGGCCGTGGCTGCCAACGACCTCAAAGGCCCAGATCGTCTGTATGAAAACGGGGTTTCACTGAGGTTGTGGTGACATCAGGCGCTGGGTACTTCTCATGTTGATTAGCCAAACACTCTCCTTTTCTGAGACCGAGAGGAGGATCTAACAGTAAATCTGATGGAAACTAGGGCTGTGGTGACCACCTCTGTCTGGAGGACGTGGGGGCTGGATGCAGCTCTTGGTGTATGCCCCGGAGCTTGCACTCTGAGCATCGGTTGCTTTCTAACTCCAGGAGCAGAGGGGAAGGTGGAGGAGAGCGTGCGGGGAGGTCTGGGTAGCTGGCGAGCTCGGCAGTGCTGAATTAAATAGGAGTGTGCCAGTTCCATACAGCTGTAAGGGCTCGTTAATTACTGGTGCGTTTGCAGAACATATGATGGGCTGCTTGATTGCTTTGGGGGAGGGGAAGCATCTCACTTGCATAGATATTGCCCCAAATTTTCTACCGGTGAACCAGAGCCACCTGGAGAATGCATTTTTGTTTTCCTCAAGCGAAGTTTTACCGTTTTTATGGCTTTTTCTGTGCACCGCTGCAGGATGGACTCTGGCTATGAGGCATTAACGATTTGCAGTTGTTGCTAATTCGGGAAAGAGATTGGATGCGGCTCTGGAGAGGTGCCTGCTTTGGGGCTCATGTGCATGGGTTGATGTTGGAATAGAAGACTGAGCCCTCTGACGTTTTATGTAGGAAAAACCGAGTGTCACACGCACCTCTGACGCTCTGATGAAGTTGGCACATGCTGGCAGCAGACCAGCAGATGAGAGGTAATTTGGTTTTTGACTGGTTATTTTCTTTTTTTTTTTTTACCACTCTCTGCCTGTGAACAGAGCTAATCTCCTCGTGTTCACTGTGGGCAAGAAGTGTGTGCTGGAGTAGTGACTTGGCTTATCTGATGTGGTAACGCAGTTGTATCTGAGAGAGGCTGATTCGCTATTATTACTCATCAGAAAGGCTGGGTAGAACTTCATGTGATGCTCAAGAGAGAAGCACTCAACTTTATCTTCTTTGTTTAAGAGCTGATTCAGGTTTGGTTGCTGGAGCCCCTTAGAGGTGCAATTGTTACCCTTCTAACAGGCTCTTCTGGTGTGGATTGGGTATGACATGGGGGTGAAGAGTCATCTGAATGGGCTGCTACCCTTCATAATCAGAATTAAAGTTATGATCACCTTAGAAGCCTTTAAAAATAACAGTTTGGACAGAGTTTTAATGCATCAGCTTTCCAAGAACCCAACACCCCCTCCAAATATCAGCTTTGAGATCAAGAAGACAAGTTGTTTTGACAGAGTTGTTTCACTAATCTCCTGACTGATCCACTTTTGTGGTACGGCACGTTTGACAGTGTTCAAATTCCTGATTTTTTTTTTTCTCATTCAGAAATTTGTGGTTCTCATGAAGGATGGCAGGCAGTAGCTGAAAGCATAACAACAGCTCAGCACAATCTATATTACTTGCTGAAATGGTTTCACCGCGTGAAAAATGGAAAATATAAAAGCCTAAAGCTATGTAACGTCAAGTATCTCCTCCACACTTATCTTCTTGACAAGGTTCTTGTACAGCAAGTCTTTCTCTGCTGCATTTTCAGAGCAGATTTTTCAAAATGAGCTGAAATGGAAGAATTATGGACTATCTGAAGACAAAAAAACTCTGAAGAGTCATACTTTGCTCCAATTCCCCATGACCATCTCTGAGACAGTTTCCAGAATAAATGCTGCTTCGCTCCAGTTACTCTCTAGGAGATGATTCATGGACACCAACACTGCCAACACCTACAGCTCTTCTACGTTCAGGTCTCTCGCACTCATCCAGTCGCTCTTGTACTGCCTCTTGAACTCGAGTGATTTCACCACTCGGGAAAATGACCATTAACTCAAGGTGGTAAAAACCTATTTCTTGGGCGTCATTAGCAAAAAATGAAGAATTGATCTCCCAACTGTCAATAGCTGCTA